CACGCGTTAACAAAAAGGACGATGGCGACGATAACTGGGACGTTGCAAAGCAAAAGATCTAATGGGTAGAACAATAGCTCAACACGTGCGTTTTAAAACTTTGTTCATTTCTTAGCCGTCCTCTCCAAAACAACAACCTGAAATACCAAAATTTGTGTAGTCTAAGAATGGAAACCCAGTAGGAAAATTATTTAAGTTTCCAGTCGAGACTCAAGGCTGCTCACATACGTTATGCTAAAGTTGAGGTATGGTACCGTAAGAGACGTCAAACACTTCCAGCCCTTTGCGAAATTCTCAGTAGAAATGATAATTCACTTTTTAATCGACGTCTTTCTCGGCGTTGCTCTCCTGACTGCAAGAGGTCCTTAATGTTGTCACCCAAAGCAGTGTCTGACGTCAAAACATTTGTCGTAATAATTAAATTCACATTGGACCATAAGAGGTAAGATTATCTTATAAAGCTCAACGTAAACTACGTGTGTTTTAAATTTACCATTTCAACTTTGTTGATATATTCAAATTATTTCGTTATCCCCACCGACGCAGCCCCGAATAATTTCTTTAGAAACTATCAGCCTTTATTCTTGTGTTTTAAATGGACTGTGATAAAAAAAGCTGCTAAATCAATTTTGAAACACGGGTAATAAGTTGCTTTCAAAAAGGTTTCCCAATTTCCGGGTGAAAGAATTCACCAGCCAAAAGCCAGAAGGAAATCAAATTTCTCTTTTCTCGAAGAATTGACGCACTCCCGGTCATTTTATCAACAGCACGTAGTGTTCAGGAAAAGGAAATGGTTACGTTGATGATCTGTGAGGGTCAATTAAGCCTTGTAGGCGTGGGCAAAGGTAGCCTAATTCCATACTTGTAGCAGAGAAGAGAACGGATAATTTTGTTTTTGCGATAAAAAGAGAGGAGAAAGAAAAAGGTAGAGAGCAACCCAGACGCGCTCGGCCGGCTTTTGCGAGGAGATAGCTAATTTGTATTCTACCAGTGAACCTGTGCATTGTGCCTCGTCTGAGGGGAAGAATACTAATGTCAAAACAAGTTATCTTTGATTACTCTCAAACTCGATCCTTTACTATAGAAAAACTCCTGAAAATGAACGGTACTTTTAGAAATCATGTTCTTAACTAATAAATCAATTACTTCCAATACAAGAAGAGCATCATCATCATCATCATCATCGTCAGTCTTCTTCGTGCTCTGTTGCGCATAAGGCCTTGATACTTCTCTTCCATCGGTCCCAGTCTCTTGCAATAATCCTCGATTCTTCCCATGACTTCCAACCTGCCTCACTTCTTTCCTTTCCAATCGATCGCCTCCAAGTTGTTTTGGGCCTGCCCACCTTTCTCTTACCGTCTGGTGACGGTAAGAGAAAGGTGGGCATAAGTTTGTAATGGAACGATAGGCTTTATTTTCGCCGACATAAATGTTTTGAGCCCAACGCATAGTCATTTTAGCCCGAGCTGCCATGCGATGGGTTAAAATGACTCTGAAAAAGGGCCCAAAAAATATTTATGCCCAAGAACACAAACTGTATAATTAACATTATCAGTTGCCAGGGAGGGAATAGAGAAAATAAAAACTGAAGACAATTACTAAAAAACATTCGGAACAATCACGCGAGCGGGCAAAAATACATTTTAGCAAGACAAAATCTCTGTTTTAGCCTTTAGAGTATGAAAATAAAAACCCTGGATTTAAAAACATATCATTGTGATCGGTGATCGTTAATAAAAATATACACTCAACTTACAGCTTTGACTTTGGTTTCAAGCTAATCTCAACTGCAGCAAGTTTTAAATGTAAATTTCTAAGGACTGTACCAGATAACCGTTTGACGGTTAGAGCGACCAGCATCTCATTTCTCCCTCCAATATCACCCCTGAATTAAACATTAAAGTTAGGAGAATAAAGGAAATGATCACCAACTAAAGAAGCTCTTGATTGTGAAACAAATTCTCCTTGTCAGCATCTTCAGAAGTGTATGGAGAACAGTACAGAATATGTACACTGATGTCACGAAGTCAAGGGTTCAACAGATTGATTGCACAATCAGCACGCAGACTCCTTGGCCATACTTTAAGGTGCTCCTGGACATTTTATATAATTCATTTTGTCTTTAAAAGTTTCTCTCATGCTTACTGTACAACTACGCTCCAATGTTTTCACACCACATATTATTTTTATAATGCCCATTCCTGAACGAATGCCAGACGAAATGCTTCACCTTTTTTGTGGGTGGAAGTGAAGCGCTTTTGAACACCTCCGCGTGCAAATTGAGTCAGTTTCAAATTTTGCCAAGAGCACTTTACCATGGAGACCTTCGGTAAAAAACTTATAATTACTTTAGTTCTCGAAATTCATTGACTTGAGTCTGCTTTAAGTCATTCGGCTTTAAAAGCTCATTTTTTTCAAAGACTGGGGCAGGATTTCTTACAAAAAATAGCTAAGAACGTCAGTGGGCTTTTAGTTTGTACCTCCTAATTTCTCCAAACAGGATCACCTTTGAATCAGTTGTAAAGTCACCAATTAAGGAACCTCCTGATTGTCAAAAACAATTATCCTTGTTAGTATTTGTATTACCTGAAAATGCACCCTTAACATATTTTGCTTGATGGCGTAGTTGAAAATTATGGGAAGTTTTTTGTCCATAACTCTTTACACCATGTTCGGTCACACTATTTTCTTTACATTTCCTCTGGTGCAGCTCTACGAGAAGGAAGGTATTGATAAATTTAAGAAAAAAATTCCGGAAGAAGAAACAAAAAGGCTTCCTTAGTACTAAATTACTACAGTAATAGTTATATATCAGTTTTGGTGTTATCAGTTTTTTTGGAGTGTTTGAAGAGGAAGCGTTTTATCTAATAAATAATGAAGTCAGACCGTGCGTGAGATGTTACACGTACAGCAAAATAGCCATCAACGAAAAGAAAGATTCATATCTTAATAACTAAATTTAAAGGTCAAATCGAAATATTATTGATACACGATCGCCTAAGGAAGTTTCCGTTGAGTATAACTAGAGTATATTTTGGGTCGAAAATTGATTTAAAACAGCATTTTTTACCCAATGAACTTAAAGAAAAAATAGCGGAGGATGTACCAAAAAAATGGCAAAACTGTCTAATCTGATCTGCACGATAACATCCGGCCAAAACAGGGAGACTTATAAGAGGCGTGTTAATTACTCGTAATCCTCCCATGAAAGCCACAGGAAGACCATGATCAGTTTCGAGAAAAGAATTTCCAAATTTCGACTACTTAGAAATTAAACTAGATAGTTGGTACCGTAATATGGGTGCTATTGATATCAAAAATCCTAAATTTGGGTCAAAATGATTCGAATTTTGAAAGAATTTTAAATCTAAAATCACCTGATCGAGATTAGATTTTTAAAGTTGTTACGCCACTGCTTGTAATGAGCATCGTAAAAAAAGTCGGCGTCTATTCCTTAAGTTTCCCACGCGTTAATCCTTGTTAATCATTTTCTTTTTGATGTTTGTCTCCCCTGGTCTGGGAAGCCATTCTTTATCAAAAGTTTTCTTCTGATGAAAAAGTAGATAAGTAAACAACAAAAGCGAGCAATCATTACAAAAATAGTCCCCTTTGTAAGAGGAGATAAAGAGACAGAATTTCACAATGTGTCTTTGCTCTCTACTCGACTATAATTATCGGCTTTGCGTGCGCCAAGGTATTATCCATTGCCAAGCTAAGCCCAGCAGGAAGCGATCACGGATTCTTTTCCGCTTTCGCTCAAGATTATGTTTTCTTATTGCTTTCACAGAGTAAATTTGAGTTTATCATAACCAAGTCAGCATGATCAGAAATTTATTTGCCTTTTCTGACCGTTCGGCAGTTCAATTCATCTCTAAGAATTTTTTAAATGAGTGAACTCATTTTCAGACAAACATGGGAAAAAGATTCTTTTGAACTTCGTTTATTTTCAAACATATTCCTGATATCCGTAAATTCAAGTCAGATTTAATGAAGTTTTCTTTGAAATTAAAACAAATGTCGTGTCTGCTCAATACTCCATGAAAAGGAAAAAACTAAAAGTTCAGTTGACATTTTTGAATTAATAGGAATCGTACAGTTACAATGAACGAACTGCTGCACATTTCGCCGTGTGCAGACCTTTTAAAAAGTGAAAGCTTAAGAAGAAGTGTAATAAATACACGGTTCAATTTTTGCTATTTCCGTCTCATGTAGATGTCTGAATTCCCACCTTTTTTTCGAGACCGGAATTTTTAAAAACCATAGAAATCAAGTAAAATACAATTGGAAAGAATCAATCATCCCTAAATGAGCCTGATATGTAAGTCAATACGAGAATTATTTCAACACTTGATATTTGTGCCATTCAAGCATAGTTTATGCGACGAGACATGGTGTACATAACGGAAACAGATAACATAGTTAACCGTATCGCCTTGAGGTCAACATAATCATTCTCCCAACAGATTTCTTCCCATTTCCAACCAAAACTAGTTGAAGGAATTTCGCCTAAAATCAGGGACAGTTGCTTTAATGAGATCATTGCATATATTCCCACAACTTTACCTTCGTTTTTAGCGTTAGAACAGTAAAGAGAAAGTGGACCCTGATCCTTTCAACGGCTTAAAAGGTTAAGCAGATCTATGGGCTGAGGCTCGTCTATGATTGTAATTTTTGCAGCCACAGACTTCATTACACTTTTATTTTTCAAAAGCATCTCCGAAATCGATATGCACCTTGGCACCTTTGTGTAACTGTTTTCTAGTAAATTCTTCAAAAACATCTGACAGGCATTGAATAAAAGGAAAAAAAAAACAAAGAACTCGCAACATAAACACCACTGCATGGCGAACAATGTCTAACCTTAAACAACTTTGAGAACAAGGAATGATTATTTGTTCGATGCTACAACGGAAAGACAAGTATTCGAAATCTCCGTACAAGAAAGTTGCATCAAGGCCAAAAATGTCCCACCACCCTCCTACGCGTGAAAAGAAACCACATTTCGATCATATTTGCATTTATTGACAATAACTCTTGAATAAATGATTTGAGCACACAAGAACCGGTCGATTGAAAAACAATTCAATGTTTTCGCCGCACAGTTCGTTCGCGAAATTCGACTAATGACTCTCTCCATGATAAAGTGCTCTTGACAAAATTGAAACTGACTCACTCCGCACGCGGAGATTCGCAAACACAATTCACGATCACCCGCAAAAAAGCTGAAGCATTTCGTCTAGCATTCGTTCAGGCATGACAGATTAACACACCAATGTTTGCATATCTGTAATCTGTTTTGTACTCCATTGTTCGCGGCGTTAAGAGGCGAACTTAAGGGCATAATAAAGTAATATGTGGTTTGACATTCTCTACGCTAGTCTTTTCGATCGTAAGTACCACCAAACATGCAGCCAACTGCTCAAACCTTCTGGTAATAATTCGATTTTTGGGTTCCATTCGCAAACTTTCGCGTCAAGCTACGTGACGATTGTATACAATCGATGTTGTTTATCTCATTGCAAGCGCTTATCTTGCCAAAATTACCACTTGGCGCCTTCCGACGAGCATTATTCAAACTAACCGCCAGAAGACTGTTTTGACATCGCTATTCATTAGAAATTATCCAAGACTAAACTAAGTCGTTTTAGATCGAGGTCTCCTGAAGAACGGGGACCATAGACCAGTCGCTTCCCCCACTACCGTCTCGCTCGGTCGCGTCATCGACGTCATTCTCTTCTGCAAGAGTCGAACTGCTCTGTGAAATAAGCTGTAGGTCCAAGTCAGAAACTGGCTCGTTCTCGAGAAAAACTTCACCGTTTGTCTCTTCGGTGTCTTCTTTACTATCCACTGCCGTTTGCTCCGGCAGATCAACTTTAAGAAGGGACTCCTTCTCACAAATACATCCGAATGTCTCACCACTCGTTGAAGTCTTCTCTACATCGGTTGTTCTCGTATCTAGCGAACTCTCCGTCCTTTCCCACTCAATACTCGCTCCCAAATGGCAAGATTGATTGCTCTGTTTATGTCTGTCGGAGGTCCGACTCTTAGAACGAAAATCCGAAATCGCACTGGCGGCAGAGTTGCTCCGAGAATTCTTGAACGCACCCATGTTATAGTACTGTCTGTTAGCTTCGACGTTTGAGATCACATCGACATGAAGATGTGACATACTAGTTTCGCTTAACCCTTCTGCATGAAGCTTTCTACTCGCCACCTCCTGATGGTGCAAATCACTCCGCGCGTCCGCAAAAGCCTTTGATATAACCTTCGCTAAGCTTTTCGCTTCGTTGTTGCTCTTGCACAATACGACATTACATTCTACGGATTCTGACTTCGATCCAAACTGATACGTGAAGAAAAAAACCCGCTGGTGAGCCTTGCAGACGCCAGTGAATCGTATTCTTCGAAGAAGAAACAACTTCTCTTCATCCTCGGTGCTATCCCTATCGCGTAAGGAAAGCTCTTCTTTTGTTAGCTTCAACGAATAATGATCAACTTTTTTCAATTTCGGTTTCTCCGCAACGTAAATAGTTTTGACCGTGTTACAAATTTCCGCATAACCCGGGCTACACAACTTCTGTGAGCCAAGGTATTTCACGGAGTAAGTTGGCGTGTGAATGGTGAAATCCACTCGCTGGTAGTCTCGGTCCGCCCCATCACCATTCGTTCGTGATCTCAGTGGGCGACAAGAGAACAGGCTGATCATATCCCAGAAAATTGTCGTGTTTCACCGTCAGTCGACAGACAGTAGCCCGCTCTATCTTGTTGTTCGCGGCATGTTTTGTGTTTATACTCGAGAGGGGTGCTTGTGATTTGAACCGACACACGAAACCCAAGTAGTTCACTCCATACTGAGGTCCTCTAGCAATTATTTTTTTTCTTCCGAGTCAGATATGAAGGTCGTAGGATCCCACTTCCACTCCGTGCGCTGAAAACCAATGTTAATTGACACTTCAATGATATGCAAACTCACCACTCGCGGCGAAAACGTTCTTCCTTCCTGCAAATCGTTGAGGTTTATTGAGCAGACAAAACAACTAATCTTCTAAAAGGATGCTCGCTGCTTCTCACGACTTAGTGTCCGCTTTCACGTCGGCCTTCTATCTCGTATACCTCGCGTGTTATGCTGCTATTCTCTCCACAGTGGTGTGTTACTATAATCAAATTTCACGATAATAATCGATAGATCTCGATGACATAACATGATTTAAATTAATCATTGCAACTCGCTCCACTGCCCCCGTTCTTTGGTCATTGCGTATGAGGTATTGTTCTCTTTAAAAATTATTAAAATCGCCGATCGCCCGGTTTCAGTCGGAGAGTCGAATCCCAAGGGACTACCGGCGAAAGATCCAGTCGGCTGGAAGTCAATCCACTTTCCTTGTATTACAATGTGTTGTAGACTTCGCTCTCTGCAAACCAAACAAGGCTCGTTTGCATTAATAAGCCACCTGTCAAAAAGTCTACTTAAATATTGATATAGTCAGTTTTGCGTGAGGCAAATCCGGTAGAAATGATTTACGTCAATGTATCGTTTTACACACTTGACACTGGCGATCGCTTACTTCTCTCTTTCAGACGAGAGATCTTCAGAAACCTTACAATACTGCATCAAGCCTCACCGAAAATTGATGTAGCATTTATCAGGGATAAATAACAGCTTTCAGATCGCTGGTCGATGTTTGCGAAGAACACTTTACACCTTGTGAATAATTTTACTAAAAGATGCATGGCAGGAGGTATATTCCATCATGTAACTGGCAGCTGTTCGTGACCTGCGAACTCAGTTTAGATAGCCACTTAAAAACAGAAATAACATTTCTTTATTATTGATCGAGGTTATTAAGTGGTAATCTATCTATTTTTTCGAAGACAGACAAGAATTTCAATGTACAGATTAAGGCTCTGAACTGAAACCTCCCCGCCGGCTCTGAAGTAAATTTTCAAGCATTCACTCGCCGATAAACGCGCGTCCGAAAAACTCGCTCGAAAATCTGAAATAAATACGATAGACATGACTTGTTTCTAAGCATCAGAAAGGGTAAATACACCTTATAATGGCTCCTTTATTTGGGAAAGGAATTTTAAACATGCAAATAGCGCGTGGGCTGTTGTGATGACTTGTCATGTCGGAAACACGACAAGTGCTTTCGTCAAGAGGGTTACTGCTGACCACGTAGATTAGCCAAATATTTCAGGTGTTTCCTCTTGGACAATGTTGACTTATGTTGTGGTCAGCACTTTAGCATTAGCCACACATTTCCTCCATTTAAAGAAGTGAATATCATATGTACTGCATGGCACGTATTTTACAGGAGTTAAGAAAATATCCATGACTACATGTGCCAGCCCATTCCACAAGGATATAACATTTTCCGCATCAAGTCATAATGAAGAGGCACCTATATTTAGTTCAAATGTTCTGGAGTGAGTCTGCAAAACTGATATTTATTTTCACCTTGTGACATCATTGGTTTCACCACACTTGACATCATCAACACAATCGGTATACATGAATGGTTTACAACAGTCTCACTGATTGTTCATTTATGCACAGTGGATATTACAAAGCCCCGCCAGGATAAAAATTTTATCTCCAAGTGTTAAGAAAAACGCTCGAGAGAGCAAAGCGAAAGAAAAATAGATATCATCAACTCTGGTGCATAAAATAAGCTGAGTTATACCCGCATTTTCATTGGCTCTTATTCATGATTTATTAGAGGACAAACGCATAGATGACGTCACCATTCACTTCCTTGTTATTAATATAAAGTAATTACGTATGATGCACGATCCTCGCAGTAGAGAGCGCCATTTATGCAATAGCGAAAATCAGACCTGAAAAAAATCAGGCCTGTACGGGATTCGAACCACTGATCTCTGCGATACTAATGCAGCGCTGCAGTAGTATCACAGAGATCAGTGGTTCGAATCCCGTACAGGCCTGATTTTTTTCAGGTCTGATTTTCGCTATTGCATAAATAGCGCTCTCTACTGCGAGGATCGTGCATCATACGTATCTACAACCGCAGTTCAAAATATATGAACTTTATATATTCATTGTATCTGATAAAGTAATTAGATGCCATATTGCCGCGCGTCTGTTCAGCAATCGATCACGAAGCCGTCAAAATTTACACGGTTCATCAGTGCCACATCTTGACATCCGCCTTAGATCACAGTATCCTTGAACAGACCCACGGCAACGTGAGATCTACAAATTGGCATGTAGTGTTCTATCAATGGATACCCATACAGCGGCGAAGGCATGTTTGTCCAGCAAGAGAAATTCTGTTAATATACAGAAAAAGAATTTCACGACAATTATTACAGTTTGTAAAATAAACTGAACACCAAGTTTTCCCACGCGTTTGCAGTTGTCACGAATTAATGATTCGCTTTATACCTTGGGCAAGACGATTTGTCAACACAGACAGAATGTTCCCTTAAAACACCTTTTTCAATTTCCCCAGAAAGCGTCTGTTATTTCATCTGCACAGGCAAATTTGTTTCCCCTGACGTTTATCCCATCTTAACTCTTTAAACCACATGAGTGAAAAGCACAGTATTCCTCTTTACGGTAGTGCAGCTGAATCATTCTTTAAAATCATCAGAATATAGGAAATGATTAGCAATCTAGGGAGCCTCGATTGTTAAACGAATTCACCTTTTAGTGCTAAAGAAAATGTTTGAAGAAGAGTAAGAAGAATATGGAATCTGACATTAGGATGTAAAGCATTCAAAACGGCGGCTTCTCCATGTTTGGGCAAAGAGAATTCTCAAAGAAAAAACCGATAACGTTTTCTTGCCTACAGCGCCAAAACAAATTCATGGAGCAAAACACACTGGCGTGGGATGATGCGGCTTTGAAATGCGAGCGTTCACAACTTGTCACAAAATACACATCAGGAGTTACCGTGAATTTTTCCATGAGCGACTGCAGACGGTGTTAGTAGGCGGTTATGCCCGGATAGGAGGCCGTAAGGTGAATACCAAACACGAGCAACCTCGTTCCCAGGGAAAAGGCTCTGGGAACGAGGTTGAAAAACAAGAGCCTGCTCGCAGGCTCAACAAAGGGCGGTCAGAGGTCGTACAAGTGTTGATCCGGTAAACAGCTTTCTTTAAAGCCTGACAAGTGCACCAACAATTCAGCAAGGTGTTGGTTCGTTCCCAGGGCGGAGGTGAAACCGCAGAGCCACCGCCTTACTCCTTCGTAACAGGAAAAGGAATTAACACCCAAGTTCAACCTTATGTAACGCCTATTCCCGAGCGGAGGCTAAGATCGAATTTTAGTGTGACGTCTTTTCGAGTGCATGCTGTGAGTTGTCCTTTGCCTTTGCCCCCACCCCTTAAAAAATTTTGAACTCTCAGTCACGTGATTTCCTCCGTGAAAATACAGAGTTTGAAAACGGGGAGCAGCTTAATCCATTCATCGTTTAAGCCAAATCGCACTGCCAGCTATGGTGTGTGTGACACTGGCCCTTAGTAACGTCTTACCGCCTAACAACCAAGACGCAAATTACACCGAATCATAACATTCCTTTATAACCACTGAAACTTGACAAGGTAATCATATATTAAAAATATCTTCAGAAATGTTCCTAGTTGGACATAACACTTACAACATATCAAAAGAACCCTTTTCAAACGTGATACGATTTTTAGTGCAAATATATACATTCAAAGCACGTTTTCAACTTAGTTTGAACCAATAAATTAGCGTTTCAAATACACCCTTGTAAATAAGTTTTAAAAACCTAACGCGCCATTGCGTAAAAACTCGTCGTTGATTATTGCCTCTTCGCGTCCCACCATCTCCCAAGATCTGATTAGCAATTCTCCCTTCTACCTTCCCGAGTTCTTTTGTAAATCAGTTAGGAGAATTTGGTGTTGTATACCACAAACAACATTCCCTAGCGTATCTATTCTCATTACTTTTTCGCTGATTAATGTATTGATATTGTAAGGAGATGTTACAGTTTAATCAGTTCTGGACGCTTGGGAGTTAACTATGATTGGTAAGGGAAGAGTCGATAGTGCTTGTGAGTGTTAGTCGAACTTTTCACTTCTTTAATCATTTCGCACTTCGCTGATAATTTTCAACACGCGCCAGTACTTTACTGAGACATCTCCTAACCATTTCAACTCCCACGATCTCATTAGAAATTCTTCTTTTACTGTCTTTCATACAATTCTTACGAAGTTTCTTCAGAGAATTTGGTATCGAATTAACTAGTAATCCCCTTACTGATGTTTTCCTTTATTCTCCTCAGTTGTCTGCTTGATAATGTATCGATATTGTAAGGAGAAATTCTGTCTGGTCTCATTAGAGGTAAAAGGTTAAAGATCACTCCGTCACTCACAGCTTAGATGTGAGTAAAAGATGTTTCATGTCTCGGAAACTCTCGTCTAGTGAATGCTGGAACTTTTTGGCATCCGTAACATCAGAGGTTGTAAACGTCGCGATGACAAAGTTAACTCTGAAAGGAAGGAGCAAAAAGCCACAATAAATATTCAGGAGCTCTGGTGGGAAGAAAAACGTGAAGAACACCTTTGCCGGGGGCAAGGACGGGAAGATTGGGCGAGTAACTTACCAGTTACAGGCAGCAAGCGCGTTCGATCCGATTGCCAAGCTCGACCAACAGAAAAGCAACAAGGAGATACCATGGCGAAGGATTCTTACCTCGTTCTGTTGATAAATTCTTGTAAAGTGTATTCTAGAATTTTAATTCACTCGCTCGCTCGTTCTCTTTAGATTGTTTCTTCGACCTTTTTTTACATTCGTGTGTTTATTCGTGCGTTTATTCGTGCTTTCGCACATTAGTTCAGCGTTCGTTCGTTTATTTGTTCGCTCGTTTGTTATTTCGTTTGCTTTTTCCGTTCGTTCGCACGTTCGCTCGTTAGTTCTTTCGTCCTTTCGTTCTTTCGTTCGCTTGTTCACTCGTTTGCTCGGCGTTCGCTCGTTCGCTCGTTAGTTTCGAACGCTTGTTCCTTCGATAGCTCATTAGTTCGTTCGTTCACAGCCCTTTCTTGTCTTTCTCACTCGTTGGTTTAAACATTTGAAAGAAAGTCTACTTTAACACCCAAGTGACTGTGGCATCGCTCTTCGAACCAGGATAACTCACCGGTTTTCCTCGATGCTATAGAATGCTCCATAACCGTCTTTCACCATTGCAGCGCATCCACCAATTACTGAAGAAAATCCTGCACAACTTGTCGAAAGGACAAAGTTGCCACCACCACCGCTGCAAAACACCGCGGACAAAATCAGGATTAGAGAATGAAAGACATCCTTTCCAGTTTTCATTGGGGTAATTTTCAATTGATTATCAAGCCGTTTTACTTCATTTCGCCCTGTGATTTCTCGACAAAGAAAGGACGTAGACCGGTCAGATCCAAACCTTAAACCAAAAATGCCTTTGCCACAAGCTTTCCCGCGCTTCAGGCAGTTTCCATAGTTACCTTGAGAACTCTTTGTTTTGATCGGCCGTTACGTTTACTTTCGTCGAACTATACAATTTTCAATCGAAATGCGCAACAAGACGAGACATGAAAGCGAAATCACTGTAGGGAAAGAGCGCACAGGCATGCAAATAAATTGGCTAACCAAATGCGCGTACTGCACTTAGTACATTTTATCATTATTGAAAATACATATGATACACGATCCTCGCAGTAGATAGCGCTATTTAAGCAATAGCGAAAATCAGACCTGAAAAAAATCAGGCCTGTACGGGATTCGAACCACTGACCTCTGCGATACTAGTGCAGCGCTCTACCAATTGAGCTAACAAGCCAACTGGGAGCAGGCCGTTAAGTTGATTCGTAATAAACCCGTGAAAGTGATAAATCT